GAAGAAACATTGTACGGAGTGTTGAATCAAAGTTTAAGATATCAAATGATAATAAATGATATTGCGTATGGAGAAAAACGGAGAAAAAGCTTTTAGAAAGTAAAATGATGTAATGTAAAAATGATCATAAAATATGGATATAATTGAGAATTATTAGACAATTTAATAATTATTAATGATAAATTGATAGCAATTAAATAATAGGTATCGAAAGAAAATTAATTCGATTTTGGAAGATGGAATATGAATTAATTTCATTTTTAATACGACAAATCTAAAGATTATATAAAAAGTGAAATTTTTTGAAAACAATAATAAGCTTCGTAGAATTCTGATTTAAATCCAATAATTGAAAAAGAAATTTGTCAAAAGTGATAAAGAAAATAAAAATATTTTTGAATAAATATCTTAAATTCTGAGTGAGAATAATATAAACATAATTATTATTAATAAATTAATCCTTAATATATTAAATCACCTTAAAACTATAATATAAACGAAAAAATACCACGTTTGCTATCAGTTTTACCGAAATATATAATATTTAATATCAATTTTGAATTTCAAATATTTATCTTTGATCTAGTTTTCAATAATGAAAGCTGTAATGAATAAATTTTGCATTTCTAATTGTTTTTATTTATTCATTAATAAAGAACCACATTTTATTAAAAAATCAATTCATTAATAAAATATTTATCATATTTATTTACAATTTTCATATTCATGCTCATCATTAATTTATTTTCCCAGATGACTTTATATCTTATATGTAGATTAGTTTCCAAATTATAAATAATTAACGATACTACCTTGTAGTATCATAACTTTTAGAATTTTTTAGAAATACTTAGAATACTTTCTTTTGCAAGTGATAAGTAATCTGATTATCTTATTCGATATACATTGTTAAATTGTAAAAGAAAATTCTATAACTTAGATTTATAATTTGTTAAATAGTTAATATTGTGCAAAAGAATAGACATTTATATTTTTCGAATAGACATCAAATATTTCAAAAAATAGAGATCTAACGAAGATCTTCAAGAATAGTAGAATAAAACATAGCAATTTTTTTTAATCATTCTTGACTCGAAAATTAAAGATTACACAGTATATTACTTTTTTTATTTATTTCAAATTCATCCCTTGGAAGGATATGTATTTATGAATTACCTTGTTCATAAGACATTTTGACATTTTGATATATTTATAATTTAATTTAATTTGTAATTAATTAAATTTCCAAATTGTAATTTATATATCTTCAATATTTCATTTATATATTTCGATATTTCAATCAATAGTCCTTTATACAAAGTGGCCCGCGAACAATCGATTGGAAGAAAAGATGATTCTACGTGCAACCACAAATCGCAAAAATTTTTTTCATTTGAAGCTTTGTTTTCAATTAAAATCAAATTTGACAATTTTTCAAAAAACACAAATAAAATTAGCTAACTACCAATTAATTGGGTGACAAATGAACTATCCAACATATGACACAGAAAAAGAACCTACTTATTTGAAATTTAATATAATTTTAAAATTACATTATGTTTATCGAAAATGGTGATTGACCACTTTTATGATGCTATACTATATGAAGAAAGAAAAACATCTGCCTTCGTTTCAAGAATACTATAATTCAAGATGCAAATCCTTCCTCGATACCCTCGCCCTATCTAACCCTAATCCCCTATTCTGACGGGTAATTAACACGATTCCCATTTGTCACAGTCGCGATAAACCATTTTGCGAATCGCCATTGTTTCAACAGACTCGCTATTCCTGCCGGTCATTAAAGCAGATTTCGAATAGCCTAATCGAAATTCAAGCGTTCAAACTTAACATGTGGCAAAGTTTATTCGAATCTTTTCACGGAACGATCCATCAATCAATCAATGGATGAATTTTCGAAACGGCGATCGTGATTCGAGAACACGATGCGACTCGTGTTAATAAAGTAAGAATAAATGTCGAGCTTGACCAGGGAATACATCAAACGTTCGAGCAGGGTTCTGGGTTTGTCTTTGTCGCGGAGGCAATCGATAAAGCTTAATTGACTCGAACATGAGAGAGCATTCGTACGTTACATCGACTTCGTCGGTGAACCGGGTCACGGTTTCAACTATTCCGAAATTTTCGAGGGCCGTTAGAGCCGAGCCACGTTAGAGAGAAACCCGATCGTGTGCGATTACCGCCACTGTTTCACCAGTTTTTCGTGATTCCGGAAAAATTTCGCGGAAAATCGTCGAAGAAAGCTGAAAGGTTTCGAGGAAACGAAGAAGTCCTTATCCTCATTTTGAATAAAATTATTTCTAAATTATTATTCGATCGTTTTTACATAATATATTAATTATTTTCTCCGTTTTAAATTCTAATTGAACTTTCTTATTCGAATTAACTGAACTTTTCAACGGAGGAATTAATATTTAACACGTGACACGTGCCTCGAGAATTCATGTTTCGAGGAAAATTGCATCGAGGAATGCGTAACGCGAGGACAAAATTCTTTTTTTTTTTCTTTTTTCTTTCTTTTTTGTTATTTCTAATAGAGAACAATTCGTGTTCCAGGGAAAATTGCACAATGAAATGGAACGACGCGTAGTATGCAACAAAAATTCGTTTTCTGCTACGTATGAATTCTAATGGAGAATAAAAGTTGCCTTCTCTAATTATGAATTATACTCACTTACAGATTTTTATTTAGATTATGTATCCTATACATTTAAATATTCAATTTCTGTTAAAATAATTTTTAATCGATTATTCTTCAAGATCAGCCACTTATTAAAATTATTATTCTCGTCAATAGTAACTTTCTTCTGCATATTAACATTGTGTTCACATCGTTACATTAATTTCTTCAAAAAATTAATAAATTTAAATAATAAGACAAGAATGATCGATAATATAAGAAAAATTAAAATCTTCAAAATCTTTAGCTTAAAAAAAAAAAAGGGGGGAAGAAGATTTAAAAGGGAATCCTTCTCGCTAAAACTAAAAAATAATCCGATTCTTTCCCCGATTCTCCACTTTATCGTGTATATAACACCGGGACGATTAAAAAGAAATATGTCGAAATAATGTATGGCGAATAAGAAACGTATTTTACGTAAAACAGAGCATAGACAATTGACTGCACAATAGGGCGGATAAAGGGGTTACCGTGACGAGTGTTCCGCGATTTAAATCATCGAATATGCACCGCTCCCCATTATACACGCTCCAAGTGACGAATTAAACCTCCAATTACAGCTTCGATTAATGGCCACGGCTGCGGCCGGACAACAAGAGGATTTTTCAAACGGGATACCGGGCGACAAACGATTTTTCCTTTTTGTCCTCTCTGCTTTTATTCTATCTTATTTTATTCATTTCGAACGTTTATCGCCACGTAACCAGCCGAGTTTTTCGCGGCAACGAGAGATGAAATAACTCTCGGTGATTAATCATCTAGTTGTAAAAAAAAAAAAGAGCAACTTCCATCTCCGTTCTGGGATTGTGAAGCAAGCGTGGAATGTCGTTTCGTGTCGGTTTCACAACCGATTTTAACCCATAGCGCGTTAAAGAGTTACGATATTTCATTCAGAATATTGTCGCGTGACGAGGGCCTTGTTCATCTTGATTATCTTAATTGTATCAAGTGATTCTTTTGAATAATTCAAGTGCGATCGGGCGAAACTAACGATAAGGAAATTGTTCGAAATCCAAATTATATTCAATGAAATTGAAGTTGTTGAAGCTTAATATTCTTCTCTTCGTCTTTGGCTTGTTTGGGATGGAAACGCGAAATTCAGACTATAATTTAGACGAAGAACTACGAAAACGATATTTTATAGGCTTTAGGGAAGCACGATGATCAATAATAAATTACACAATCGAACCATTATTGGAATTGGAATGGAATTGGAAGCCAACTTTCATAGTGTAACTTAAAATTGAACTCACGCTATTATCGAGTTACTTTAAATAATCGATGGGGATCTATTTGATTAGGAAACATGTTTTTAAGATTTCAAAGTCATCTTGTTTTAGATAAATGATGTTGAGAGAAACATATTGATTCTATTTTTTCATATGTAAAAAAGTTCTTGTATGTTTAAAAATTATCAGTTTAAGAGATATTTCAATTTCAATCTTGTAAAACTTCTCGTATATAGAATATTAATTGTTAGGCATATATGAATTAATGTTTCTTTTTTTATAGAGAATAGAGCCGTATTGATTCACTTAAGGAAACAAAGTTGACTTTCACATGAACTTTACGCATCCACTCATGAAAAAATTAATAACACCTTATTCAACTTTTACAACACCGAGAAAACGAAGATATCGAAATCGGATGAAATATCTTTTATCCTATTCTCCACATCTCTACTTGATCAATTTTAAATCTAATATTAATCGTGTAAAAGAAACCGATCGATTTTCAACATCATTGATGAATACATTGAACACATATCTGTATAAAATAACAAGAATAAAATCGATGCGAGATGACTTTGCAATTTTCGTATTTATTTACACAAATCAAACATCTACTCGATACCGTTTAATTTTGCTCCATTAAATTTCATTCCATACAGCTTAAAAGCTGTACGGCTGCGTCAAATCCTCTAATATATTTCCTCTGCGCATCGAAACTGTGAATACATTAAAGGAATTGACTGTTCGATCCCCACGCTTCTTGATATTCATGTTATACACACTGTATTAAAAAAAAAATTGGACGAAGGATCGATGAATGAAATCGGTGAAATTGTTGACGGTTCGTCGCGAGCAACTGAAATTTTTAGGATGTGATGAACGGCAATAATAAAATGTCGATAATATGCAGTCGATAAAGGTTAAAGCGAGCGGGATTGTAAATTGAAAGGGAGAGGAGGAGGAGGAGGAGGTTGGAAACGCGGTTTCGAAAGGAATGATTGGCAATTTAATAAAGTTCTTTAGTTTTTCCAGGGGAGGGAAGGATAACCGGGGATGATAACACTCACCGTCAATCCAACGTCACGCTCCCAATAGTCGTCCAGTCTTCTCTGTTCGAGCCCCGAGCCGTCGAGCGCACACCGAGCGTCACATTTTTGGTCGTCTGTTTCCGGTAATCGATCCTTCGATCGATCAATTTTGACGGGTTGTCGAGCCAGAGCGGATCATCAATTCCTATCGTGGACTATGTCGTCTGCGCAGAAAAAGAGAAAGATAGGAAAAAAAAAAAGAATAATAAGAAGGAGGTGAGACAAGATAATTCTTGAGGAGGGTGTGAAGTTTACGAGGTTTAATCGGCGTTAACGTTTCGTCGATCGAAACGCGAAATCGAATTTCTCTCTCGGAGGGAAGCGAGCAACGTAACGACTCGTGACAACGAATTGGATTTATATTCGTTCTGTCGGACGAAGCAACGAGACAACAGAAAAATTGGCCCAATAAAACTATAAATGACTGGCGGTGATTTATCTTCCGCCGGATCGATTCGCGCCGATTCTAATTCGAATCCAGTTCTGATTCTCTCTCTCTCTCTCTCTCTCTTCTCTTTCTCTCTCTCTGTTATTTAGATTTAGACCATCGATTCGAGCTTTCGTCCGATTCGTATTTATTTTACGATCTCGGGATTGAAATGCTTGTGTATACTTCATAAAACAACGTAAATATGTTAATTTTAAATGTAAACGTATTGATCAATAGATGGATAGATGGATTGAATCATTTATCAGGATGTAAATCTGGTCTTTCTTGTATTCGATGCACATCTCTCGATCGAGATTAAAAATGTTATTGAAGAATAGCGATAGTTTAATTCACTTTCCATGAATGGACAGATGGACAGATGTGTAAATTCATTTTAAAATTAACTTTGTTTATATGCACAGGATATATATAGTAAATATTTTGTGTAAGAATAAGAAAGTATTATTTAATCTCAATTGTTTTACTTTTATTATAGATTTTGGATTAGATTTTGTTTATTTAAATGTAATTGTAAAATGTTATAAATTTGTTCTTTTTGTAGAGGAAAAGGAGATAATGTTGAAAATGCTGGTAAATTGGAAATCTTCGATGAAATCAATATTAAAGTGATATCTGTAATTTAATATTGAAATATATTGTTTAGCAAAATGAAAAAGATATAATTCAAACATTATATTCAGTCTTTTAAACATTTTCGTGAAATCTTAATTCTTTATATATATATCATTAGTTAAGATAGTTTGTAATAATAAATTTCACAAAAATTTTTGATACAAAAACATTTGTAACATTACATTTACTATTGCTTACATTTATATTAATAATGTCATAGTTCATACTTCGTAAGAAAAATAATAATAATATCAAGTTTATTAAACACATATTTGTAATTAAATGTTTTTTATACGTATGTGAAAAGGAAATCAAATTAAAATCAAATTTAAATCATTTAAATGCATTAATTTTGAAATAACAATAAAAAAAACTAGGGCTTCATTACGACTTTTTCCTATATACTACACAATTTTACTCTTTAGCTTTATTCGGTATTTAATTAGATCACGAAAAGTGGACTTGCTCCACTTTCAAAATAAACGAACGTTCAATGCCAATTAAAGAATTTAATATTGATAAAAGAATATTGATATCTTAAAATATAATAAGGAAATTATTTACAAGTAAAAAGTTCATGCCAAATTATAATAAATTTTTCATTTTCTTTTACCAGAAATGGATTTATTCTATTTTCGTAATAAAGTATAGTTCGATTCGTAAATTTACTTTTTTAATATCACAGTTATAAACTTGATATCTTTTTCTTTTACACAATTAATTCTTATCGTACAATCTTATAAAATTCTAAAAAATAAAAGTATTTATAACTAAGTTATGATAAATTTATAACTATGATAAACTAAGATATGATAAAGTACGCTTCTTTTTGAATTTTTATTTATGTTCTAGATTAAATTTATGTTTTAAGCCAAAAGTATCTTGATATAATAATATATATGTAATTATAATATTTACGTTTTTTTAATAATATTGTTATTTACGAATTATTATTAAATACAAATAATTATTTTTATTTATATAATATCATTGTATTGCAATCATATTTCTGAAACGTATTGTTGTTTTAAGTATCTGTATAAATACTTGAAATAAATTTCAAACCGTTACAACTTATGAAACTGTTGATCAATCAGGATTGTTTAAAGCCTAACGAGCTCCTCTTACATTAATTAATCCTGCTTGATCAGTAACCGACTAACATGAATCTGAATACTACTTGATTACCAAGTATAGACTAACTGATTGCTTCCAACTCTGATTGCTAACCGAATTCCTAATACTGATTTCAATCCTTAACTTTAGTTTTCATTAACAATTAATCATTATCTTTTGATCATAAATCTGATTACTTATTATCTTGTATCTTATTATAAAATTATTTATACATTTTATACACAATCACATTTCTTCTTTTTCCTTCTATTTTTCTTACATGAATAAAAAATGGAAGGACAATTAAACGTGACAATATTACAATATTCGTTTAAAAGTTTGCTTAAAAATGATAAATTGATTTACCATTATTATTTATAGTGAAAAATGATTCATACAGTTGGATGGATTAATTTTTTTGTAGACTTAGTAAAGCATATGTAAAAATCAAATATATTTTTTGAATGTATTAATCAATGTATCTTAACATTTCATCGTATTTAATTCATTAATTTATATCCAAAAATCATTCCATTGCTATAAAATCATTTTCTTATAAATTATAGATGGAATAGATATTTACATACTACAGAAAACTAATAATAAAATGTGCTTTTTATGATCAATTAACATGATATCATGAAAAATGAGTTTGTATTAAAAGAAATATTGAAATATTAAATTAAAATTATGAAATACTTCTCTTTAATATATTTTCTTCGTTAAATTTATCTTATTCTACAATCGAGAATTATAGATTTAGAGAAATCACAAATTATTTAAAAATTGCAATTTAAAAAGGGAGAGACATTGCCTCGAAATATTAAAAAGAAAATAAAAATTGTTGCAAACAAAAGAATTTCTTTCTATCTCTTAATTCATTTCTACTACTATCTACTATCTACTATCTTAATACCCTTTCATAACAACTGACATACAGATAGATAATTGCTTCTCTTTCTCTTTCAAATTAGATTTTCCTCTTCTTGATATCATCCAACCGTACATAAAACCGACATATTCTTCGATAATAAATCAAGATGATTTCCACAATAATATACAAGGTGTTCTAAAAAAAAGCCTTAATAAACACAAGTCGAAACCTCGACAATTTTCAAGATATAATCATTTTTTGTTTTATATCAGCATCATGATTGACTGACTTCTTCCACTTGGACCCCTTTCGAAAATTCTTTTTCGAATTATTTGCGTGCTGCGTCCAATTTCGATAAAATATCCGTGAAAAATTGCCACCAAGATATGTACATCGAATGCGAGAATAATCAATGAACAATCAATCAATCGTCGATTTAAACACGAAAACAAAAAAATAAACAATCGAGTTTCCGATTTGTTACATTTTTCTTTTCACCACCCTGTATAAATCTGGTCGAGTGATCGGTATCTCAACTTGAGAAAACTTTCAACTGTAATATAAACGCCATAATCTATAAACGTATATATGTTTTCTCCGGGACATCGATTAACGGGTCTCGTTTCGCAGGGTCAAGTTTAGCGATCCTGTTCGGATTAAACGTGGCAGCTTCGTCGGTCGGAAACGCGTTACCAGGGTGAAAGGGTGGTGTTTCACCGGGGCGCGTTTCAACGCCAGCGGTTCGGAAATTTCGTTTCACCTTCGATGCAAACGAACAGGATTTCGCAGCCGACGGTAAGGGAAAATTTAATTCGGGTCTTAACCCAGTTCCGGAAGAATGCGCACCCGAGAAGGACCCGAAACGAGCGTCGATACGCTTTTGCATTCGACACCGTATCGAAGCAGCTCGAATCAACGAAATGAATACATACATCGAGGGAGAGATTCTTGCGATGTCCGATCTCCCTTTTTGAGGAGAGAAGGGACCTCGTGTTAACCCCTTTGAGATTGCTAATAAAGATTGGGAGTTCAAGTTGAGAAACAATTTAAAAGAAAGGATCTAATAGCTCGAAGATTCTATCAAATTCAAGGTGCAAAGTTGAGTTTTCTGATTTTTCTTCAATTTTTGTTCCTCGATGAGGCACGTAATATCGATAATATCGTTAAAATATCGATAACAGATGAAAATAATTATAAGAATTAATAGAAATAGCTTAAGTAAAATTTATTTTTATTGCAACTTGTTACAAATAAGAAGAACGTAGAAACTCTTAACTGATAATAATCAATAATCACAATTCTACACACAAGGAATCATCTGATTATATATATCTCTCCAAATTTAAGAAAAATTCCTCGAGTTGAGTCGAAGAGGAAATACACAAAAGTGCATAAAAGTACGTATTCCGAAGAAAACGGATCTGCGATTTCATAATAAATTTTTACGAGTGTAGAAAATTGTCAATTGGAAAATGTCGTCTCGAGATTACGTTTCCATGCCGAAATATTCTAAGAAATATAGAATCCCAAAGGTCCTCCAAGTACTCTAAGTTTCTCTTAAAAACGACACTCTCGCAACTCCACTTTACATCCTTTTATTAAATGTCTTAACAATTCTCTTCCCACGCGATACTTGGAGGAGTAACATTGGAAGAATTAACGAGGATCCCTCGGGTAATCTTTGGCGAGACTGCTATACATATTGTACAATTAATACTATTGTGCAATAGCTTAGAATCCCTAATTATTTTCACAGTCGTGAAAGCTATCCAAGTTGGCGGGAGAGGATCTCTGCACAAGTCTGTAAGCACTCACTTGTTTCGAGAACAGCGATGCGGCCGGAAATGAAGATCTCCACTGTTGTTAAGTTTACCCTACTAGCGGAAGGAAAGTAAATAGAGCGATTGTTTGGGATTGAAGATTATCTTTAATGTGTAAGTTGCGATTGATGATAAAATTTAAATCTTCATATGCATTTATCATCGACTTTTCGAATATCAGAATGAGCGTTGGGAAGTTTCGAAGATCTGTTTATTAGCATTTTAATATAGAATAATAATAGAATTATAAATTTTTACAATTTTAGATAATAATTATTTTAATTATTTTTG